CGGGGGGGGGGTTGTTGGGGAGATGACTCAGCAGTTAAGAGCATTGATTATTCTTGCAGAAGACCTGGGTTCTAATCCCCATATGGTAGCTAACAACCATTCATAATTCCAGTTCCAGGGGATCTGACACCCTCTTCTGGTCTCCATGGGCATTGTATACCATGGGTGCAGGCATAACACACATGAAATAAAAATGAATTAAAAAAAAAGAGAGGGGTCAGGTGTGGTCACACACACTTTTAATCCCAGCACTTAGGAGGCAGAGGCAGGCAGATCTCTGTGAGTTTAAGGCCAGCCTGGTCTACATAGTGAGTTCCAGGCCAGCTGGGGCTACAGGGAGACCCTGTTCCAAAAAGACCGAAAAAAAAGGGGGGGGGCTGGAGAGAGATTATTCAGCAGTTTTGAATAATTGCTGTTCTTTTAGAGGATCCGGTTCAGTTCCCAGCACCCACATGGTGGCTAACAACTGTCTGTACTCCAGTTCCTGGTTATCCAATGGCCCTCTTCTGGCGTTTGTGGGCACTACAACATATAGGCACACATACAGGCATAGAGGCAGGCAAAACACTCATAAAATAAAAATAATAGCCGGGTATGGTGGCGTACGCCTTTAATCCCAGCACTTGGGAGGCAGAGGCAGGCAGATCTCTTTGAGTTCAAGGCCAAGACCAAAAAATAAAATAAAATAAAATAAAAAAATAAATAAAATAAAATAAAAATAAAAATAAATATTTTTAAAGAAGAAGAATGGAGTAGCTGGGCTGATGTCAAGAGTTGCAGGGGAGGAGGGGCAGGTATATACTCCCTTTGTAGAATGTTTGCCTGGCATACACAGATCCTGGGTTTGATCCTTAGTACTACATAAAATGGGTGTGGTGGTTCATGCCTTTAATCCCAACACTAGAGAGGTAGAGGCAGGAGGATCAGAAGTTCATGTTCATCCTTGGCTAAATAAGTTTGAAAGCCAGCCTGCATGAGTCCTTGACTTAAAGACAATAAAAAGCCACCCTGCAGCGAGGCTGAGTCTTAGCTTGAGGTTGTGCGTGGCAGAAAAGGGGCAGGGTTGCTGAGACTTGGAAGTGAAA